TGATAGAAAGTGCAGAACTCCATTGTTCTAGAATCAGACAGGAGAAAGTCAAGTGTTTGGACTTGAGATCCTCAAGGATGCTGAAAGACAAGTGTAGACTATCAGGGAAAACTTAAGAGTGGCACAATCTAGATAGAAGAGTTATGCTGACACTCGGAGAAGGGAATTGATTTTTGAAATAGGGGATTATGTTTACCTAAATGTGTCACCTATGAGAAGTGTGAGAAGGTTTAACATGAAAGAAAAATTAGCACCAAGATATATTGGACCTTTCAAGATTTTAGAGAGATGTGGAGAAGTAGCTTATCAGTTGGAATTGCCTGAGAGTTTGTCAGGTGTACATGATGTGTTCTATATGTCTCAATTAAAGAAGTGTTTGTGTGTACCCGAGGAGCAGATACCGTTAGAAGAGCTTAAAGTTAAGGAAGATCTTACGTATGAGGAATTTTCGGTAAAGATTTTGGAGACGGCAGAAAGGGTTACGAGGAGCCAAGTTATAAAAATGTGTAAGGTTCAATGGAATCGTTATACAGAAGATGAGGCTACTTGGGAAAGGGAAGAGGATTTGAGAAAAATATACCCACAACTTTTTGAGGCAACATCTTTCGAATCTCGAGGATAAGATTCATTTTAAGGGGGGTAGGTTTATAACACCCTAAAATTTGCTACTTTGGAAATGTAGTTAAATCGATTTAATTTCGATTTTTTGTGCACATGAAACATAGGAAAAAAAACAATTTTTATTAAATTAAAATCTATCATAGGGCTTAGCAACATTGATGGTGCATTCATGCTGGTGCATATAATTTATTGAAGTGAGTGGTTATGGTCAAAATTTCAAAAAGGATTTGAATTGCTTTGAAAACAAGTTTGAAATAGGTTTTGAAATAAAGGAAAAGAAAAGAAAAAGGACAAACTCGCCCTCTCTCATTTTGGCCCAGCTCATTTTTTCCCTTCCTGACCTGCTTCCCCCTCCCTTTCGGCCTAGGCTGGTGAGCCCAACTTGGCTTTCCCCTTTCCTCTTCTCTGCATGGCCCAGCAGTGCCTTCCCCTGGCCCGTCCTTTTTTCCCCCACTTTGGCCTGCGCTCGCGTGGCTTCCTCCCTTCCCGCAGCGGCCCAGCTATGACCGCAGCCCAGCTCCGCACGCCCGTCGCGCTTCACCTCTTACCCCGCTGACGCGCCGGCCCAGCCATCAGGTGCCTCTTCTACCTTCGTCTCGTGTCTAGCATGGACACCATCACCACCGAGTCCGCCTTCGCTACTCCCTCATGGTGGCGTGCTCCCCACGTTGCCCCGCCTTATAAAGGCCTCGCCCGAGCCTGCGCCGCTTCCAATCCCGAGCCCTAGAGCAAGCCTCCACCTCACCGAGGGTCGCAGACCTAGACCATCGTCGACGCCGTCCATTCCACCGTGTCCTGCGCCGTCTCTCGAGCCATCTCCGTCCGTGCCAAGTGTTGAGAGATCACCGTTCCCTCCTCCTTCTTTCTGAGTAGATTCTGTGGGAAACCGAGGTCCCGAGCCCTTTTTCCCGTTTCGCCAGCGAGCTTCCACCGTCGTCAATGGCAGCCATCGCGCCAGAGCCCTGTTCCGGCCAGGTGAAGCACCCCAACCCGCTTGAGCCATCCATCTCCAAATCAACGCTCCAGATCACGTACCCTTTCGATCTGTGTAACCGGTCCACCGGCACAGTGTGGACTAGGTCCATCGTACGGGTCCACGGCCGGTGTATCACTCCGGCCAATCCCGATCCGCCATGTGGCTCCACGCTGGTGATGACTCAATCAACCGCCGGCTATCGCTGCACTTTTTTGCTTAGCCCCCTGCAGATCCGCGTTATAGAACCCACAGTCCTTTCAAGTTCAAAAATAATTCAAAGCAAGTCCTTTTTCTTCAATTTTAAACCCTGTACTTTATAGTATTAGAACCAGCCATCCAATAGAGGCAGTTTTATAGGTTAGACCTCGTGTTTATAATCAAAATTACGTATAGGTCCGTTTTAAAAACTACAAAACTGCCACTACTTTTTATAGGCCATAAAATCTCCGTTTTAACTTCGATTTGACCCGTTCAACTTGTGTTAGGTTCGTAATTTCATAATCTACATGATCATACTACTGTTAAGTATGTTTTCAACTTTTAAAATTTGAAGTTAGATTTAATATATTATTTTACTAAAGGAAATCTTGTTTAATTCATAACTTCTTCGTTTTAGCTCTGATTTTTGTGATCTTCGCGTCTGTGTGTTCGTAGCGAGACGTAGATTCGTTTTCCAAACTTTCCATCTTGATTTTATGTTGTTGGTGTACTGTTCTAATCTATATCTTTTGTTTGCTATGCATGATTGTATGGATGCCTGTGTGGTGCTGTTTGATCTCGAGTAGACAGTGAGTTTTGTGTTGGTGATCTGGAGCAACGCTTTGAAGATCAAGACCAGCAGCGATACTTTGAATTAAGGCAAGTATAATATGAGGCTCCTTGTTACCTATTCACTTTAATGCAATCTCAATTCATGTGCATATGTTAAAGAACTGCTTGAGTCTACCTACCTTGATATTGATTATCATGTCCTTGATATACCTATGGGTTTTGCGTGTGGGTAGTATGCTCAGTTTGCTCCAACTAATATTGATTAAAGAATACCATTAAAGGTATATGCAACATGGTATTAAAAGATGCTTTTTAGCAACATAGAACAAGGGGGCTAGAGCATTGGGCATTTTCTTAGGGTGCTCTACTTTCTCTCCATAAGGACTTATCTTTAAGTGACAACCTAGAACTTACAGTATAACCATGAGGACTACATGGCTCTGGTCTTAGTCTAGTACCTTACTCTTTCTAGTTTGTAGCAGTTTACCGAAAGGGCAAGAGGGGCATACCGGGCTGGGTATGGGCCTCATCCCCAGGGTGTATACTATGCTACGTGTATAAGTGCCACTTTTAGAGATGACTCCATAACACTTGGGAGATGGAATCCTTAGCGACTGCTCTTTATTAGAACGACTGGGGAAAAGCTTCGTAGTGTACCCTGCCTGCTCACCTTGGAAGTGTTTTGGGAGTTGCAAACCCGGGCATATGGGTAACATGACTCATGGTGAAAGTGTATAACCTCTGCAGAGTGTAAAACTGGTATATCAGCTGAGCTCACGATCATGGGCGGCCTGGATCCTTACTGAATAATTGGTTACTCGGATGGTTTGGGTTATGATTAAATTGTTGATATCTTTAACTATTCACATTCGGGAACCTAGGCATAACTTAGCAACTTATGATTAATAATAAAATATGATCAACTAAAAGTGCTTACCGCGGTTCAGCCATGTCAAGCCTTTTGAGCCTGCATCCCTCTCATGTTATGCTTGCTAAGCGGTAGTAGATTACGCTTGTTTTATTTCAATACTTTGATAAAATCCCGGATGGGTACCAGATGGAGGTTCTTCAGTGTAGTTTTCCAAGAGGTGTTAGGCTTGTGATCAACAAGTTGACGATTCCTGTGGTGTTGGAGGCTTCGCCAGAAGAATAGAGTTATAGTATATACTGTAAAGTAAGACTATGTCTTCTATAACAACTACTTATGCGCTATATAATAAAGGCATTGTTTTTGATATTAACCCTTCATTTGTAACTATATGTGTGAATTAAATTTCTGAGCACACATATGGTGTGTATCTGGTTTTGTCCTTAAAACCAGGTGCTACATCCATACCACGTGAACATAAAAAATATCACAGAACATCACATATATAACACGTGAACATAAAAAACAAAAAGATCGCATGTATAAACATGAACATAAAAACAACATAGAACATCATAAAAAATAAATAATAAAAGAAAATAAAGAAAAAAATAAAAAAAAGTAAAAATAAAAATAATAGAACATCACATGTACACTACATGAATATAAAAAATAACATAGAACATCATAAAAATAATAAGAAAAGAAAAGAAAAAAATAAAAAGGTAAAAAATATAAAAATAGAAATAATAATAAACACATAAAACAGAAAAAAAAATAAAAATGAAGATGCACGAAAAGAAAAAAGATAAAGAAAGAAAGAAAAGAAAAGAAAAAAATAACGAAAGATAAAAAAAATGAATCAAAGAAAAAACATAATTAGATAAGAAACAAAGAAATAAAATAAATAAATAACTAAAAACAAAATTAATGAAAGAGAGACAAAAGACAAGGGAAAACAAAAATAATAAAATAGACACCTACGAAGAAGCGAAAAGTAAATAGAAATATCACACACTACTATGTGAATAAATGAGAGAAAAAAGAAAAGAGAAAGAAAAAGATATATAAGAAATAAAAAAGAGAAACTAACGTAACAACCTCCAGAAGTTAAGAAAAAGAAGAAAAAAAACAGCAAACTACCACCGGCTTGTCGAGTGAATTAATCTCCTACAACTAAAAAGAACAAAAGTAAGATAATTTTTTTGTGTGACTTTTTTTAGGTCGCTCCTCCATTCTGGCCCTGCGATACCCCGCGCGATAGAAAAAGAAACTGACATCCCTGCAATCTCCGCCGTTTTGAAGGAAATAAATCAATCACCTGAGGCTACATACATGAAAGGAAACAATAATCATGCATGAAAGAAAACAATCATGCGATGCCCCTCTCTCGCTCGATCAGATATCTTTCGTCTCTACTTAAACCGGCCAAATATATCTAGCCTGGGCCGGGGACGGTGCTCGCTGCTGCTGGAGCGCATGCAGCTATAAGCTCCGATCAGAAATCGATCTGTAAGTAGCTACCTTCAACCATTCTCTCCGTCTCGGTTGTTCTGTTGCCACACCACATTTCATCTGATGATCATCCTGCTTCTGTCAGTTCAGTGCTTGGGAACCTGAGACTGAGACTCCGCAGAGACATGCAGCCTGTTTGGGAGGCCGTATCGTATCGTGGATTATTTACTGCTGGCTGGTTTGGTGTGAGAGAAAAATACTGTTCCCGGCTGGAAATTTACGATCGTTTACGAGCAAGCGAACAGGCTGATGATCGGCAGCGTACGGAAGAAGAGGGGATTCAATAAGCTGGTGGTGGTCATGATGTTCTTTGTGTGCGCCATCATCATCGTGGCGCTGCTTGTCCGCGACAACTGCTGCGTCGTCGTCCAAGTGGCAGTACTGCCACGGATAATTCCAGTTGGATCCTCTTGGGATGCCTCTCCTACTGCTGCTACAACTCCAAGTGGCAAAATCATCATCCCTACAACGTCTACGAGAGGAGCATCATCACCAGCTCGTGATCTTCAGGAGGACTCAGAGGCTGTACCAGCCTCGGAGGAAGAGGAGCCCCCTGCAGCTGCCCCGTACTCGGCAGACAGCAGGTGGAACATCCAGTGGGAGAGCGTCGCCAGTATCCTTTCACCATTCAGCAGTAATGGCACTGGGCGCGGCATCGCCAGGGTGGACCTGCTCAACTTCAACTCGTCGGAGGTTGCTCGCTGGAAGAGCACGTTGCCTGCCGCCGACGTTCGGGCGGTGCGCCTGGCGCCCGCCGCGGATGCTGTCACCTGGGAAGCCCTGTACCCGAACTGGATCGACGAGGAGAGCAACAGAAGCAGCTGCCCCTCCCTCCCCGACCCGGATGCCGCCCCTCATCATCACAATTATGACCTCGTCGCCGTCAAGCTTCCCTGCCGCGGACAAGCTTGGTCCAGGGACGTGCGCAGGCTCCACCTCCAGCTCTCCGCCGCCAAGCTCACCCTCCATGGCAGCAGCAGTAAGGCTGGCATGGTGTTGATCCTGAGCGAGTCGGGGTGTCTCCCCCTGCCCAACCTCTTCCCCTGCAAGCACCTCCTCGCGCGCCGTGGCCACGCCTTTCTCTACCACCCCGAGGCCACCTACCTCCGCCACCGCCTCAACCTGCCCGTCGGGTCCTGCCAGCTCGCCGTTCCTTTTCTCCGGCCTTCACCTACACCACCAAGTGCAACGCCAGGACCAGGTACAAGCAGGATCAGCAGGCAGGCCTACGCCACCGTGCTGCACTCCGCCGACGCCTACGTCTACGCCGCCTGTCCAGGTTTTCCTCCTCCCTCCCTTGCGATCCCGAGAGTTTCTGCACCGCTAGGTTGGCCTCCCTTCCCGCGCCCGTGAGTTTCTGCGTCGCGACTTTTCTTTCCCGCGATCACCCAGTAGGAAACATTGCGCACCACGTCGATCCACGCCAGGCCAACCTCGACGCGCCCCTCTTGTCCTTCCCGTGGTGCGCTCTCACGAATCCACGCCACCCCGCAGAAGACGCCGGACACCACAACGCCCTGCCACCGCTGCACGCTAGGCACTCGTCGGCCGGACGCCACGACGCCAATCCGGCCCTCAGACGCCGCCGGAACACCCCCTCCTCGTCCGACAGTCATGCCGTCGACGCCGACCGCCGTCGGACGACTGCGAAGAGGCCCTCGACAATGCCGCGCTAACAGAAGGCGACTGCAACTGCTTTATCAGGTGCGGTTTATGATTTCATCTTATTCTGGATGATAACTTTTTTTCCTTCAATTTCCTTACTCAGTCAATGATTTCATGATAATCATGAGAAACGCTACTATAAGATGATCGCTGCATATTTGAGATTATGCAAATTTTATTTAATCATGTTTCTGTGTGAACGAGGTGCTATTGGAACATGCTCATATGATTGCATCCTATCTCTCCCTATCCTCACCGTTGCTATTAAGATCTCCTCCGGCGCCGTCCTCCTCTGCGATGCCCTCTCCACCGGGGCGAGGTCCATAGGATCCAGTGGCAACAAGGTTGAGGGAGTCACGTGGTAGCGAGATCCATCAGCAAGCATCCTGGTTCTAGTGTATTATTTGATTTATTTCTCGATACACTACTACGAGGGACTGTACTAAGCCGTGCGTTGCTGCAGATAGCTCCTGATGTATTCTTGTTCGATCCTGCTGGACAAGAAGGTCTGAGTGACGACAACTCAGGCGACGGAATTGGTCTACCATCGTGGAAGTTTAGGATCGACGCCGACTTGCTTGACGTAAGTGTAGTCGTCATTGCCCTTTTGTTTCAATTCTCAAACTAATGGTTGTTTGTTAGAGTTCAGCAAATTCAATTCAGTTGGGCAATAAATTTAGTTTTTCACTATCATTAGTTATCAGATATTCATAATTTGAATCTGAATATAAATATTATTAGGAGTCTGTATACTTGAAATAGTGTGCAATACATTTTCGTTTAGCATTGATACTCGTCAATCAAGGACTCCACAGCTGGTGGCGGTTGCGGAATAAGTGGTGGCACCAGCTCAGGTGCTCCCCGCGGATGCTAGGGTGAGCTAGATGGGCTGGAGAATCTGTATGTCACGATGTCCATGCGCAGGGTCTCCGGTAGCCAACTGTTTTTTACTATTATTGAATTGTATAAACTGTTTTTTTCCAAGAAAATGAAGTTAAGAGAATTAATTGATTGGGACTATCATTTACTCTTTTTTCAAATAGTGGTCTTCATTTCGGAGCCCTTCATGCAGTTTAATAATGGCTGGGGAGTTAGGCTTGCGAGAACTTACTCTTAGTTGGGTTGCGAACTAGGGATGTAGCACTTCAATGGATGTCTTGGTTGAGTTCTACAATTGCCAAAAATGGATGGTGCTGATAAGATTGACAATCCTGTAACTCTGCAGTACCTTTCTTTTTTTTCAAAAAAAGAGGGCAAATGCTACTTACGGTCGAATCCATGTTCTTTTTGTTATTTTGATTTGATGCCCACAGCCCACATGTTGACTTTCATATGTGTTTGTAAAGAATCCAAAGGAGTTGGCCTAATGCCAATCTTTCTTGTTGTCTTTTTCATTCTTTATATTTATATAAATTCTCATCAACAAGTACATGGCTAGGTAATGGCCGTAATGCTGCATCCTTTAGCCAGTGTGCCCCCTTGAGATCTACTGACTGCTAGCTTATGCATATTGTCTTTTATTTGTAAGGTAGAGAGCAGTACAGGAAATATTCAACAGTTTATTTCCAAACTATATCAGATACTTTAATTCATGTCTTTTATTTGCATCGAAGAAAACTCATCCGAGGATAAGATTGTTGGCCTGATAGAAATGTTCAAAACACGATATGAATTTTTAAACAATGTCTCTAATATAGCTTCTTTCTACGACAGTGGAGTGATGTATCGTGTTTACCTTTCCCTTTCTGTTTTTTTATAACCTGTTTGTCATTTAGGATTTAATCACCAGGACTACTTTCCACTTTTCAGGCAGTGAAGCAATGTTTGTTGACCTTGGTCATTTTACAAGTGCATCCATCAGATGTACAGTTACATCCACGAGATATTTGGAACAAGATATGTCCATGCTAATATCCTTTACTACTTTATAGAAAGAGATTTTACTATAATTATAATAACATTATCCATGGTCCATGGAGATGGATGAGCCTGCATTTTAGCAAGACCATATCAGCTAATTGAACTTAAGTGATTATGGACTGTTAAATGGGCACAATAAAATTCTTCAATTTGCTTGCTAGCTATACAAATGAAGTAATATTAGTTCATTTTCTTTATTTTGCCACAGCTCAACCAGATTTACGTGCTATCAGATTTCATAAGCATTGTAGAATGCATATGTGTGTTCAGTATGATAGACTTCACTAATCTGGATTTGAATATACAATTATAGCCTTGACAGTTCTAAAGCACAAAGAGATGTACTTGAGACCTATAACAGATACAATCTTCAACACGTGTATTTTATCTCTTTATCATACATCCGTTCTTCCTATCTGAATGACTGAGCGAAGTTCCTGTTAGATGAAAAATCTGGTTGTGTTAGTCCTATTGAATCTGAAGAAGTTTCTGAGAATCCTAGCATGTAAGAGGCTATAACTGAGGAAGGAAATCCATGTCTCGCTACAGAGCAAAAAGTGCAGGGCCGCCGTCGCTACCGGCGCGGTCCTAACCCGTGCGCGAGGCTAGGGTGTCGATGCTGCGGCATCCCGTAGCTAGGCGAGGTGTGGCCTACGCAGCGGGCGGAGAAGGCGGCATGCGGCGCGGCGGCTAGCAACCCTAGCTGATGTGCCACGGAGGTGACGGAGATGGTGACACGCGCGCGGCGGAGCTGACCCGCAACGCAATGACCTGAGGCAATGCGAACGCCAACAGCCCCCATGTCGTGCGGAAAGGTCTATACAGTTTGTGAGTCTTCGATGCCGTGCTGTGTGTAACTGTTAATTTCATGAACTTTGCTTTTTAGATTAACGTGCGTATTTAATTTTATAGTATTGTTATCTTATCGTGCGATCCGTGTGTTTTTAGTACAAAAGTTTAGTTATCCCGTACCAACGTACGGTCACGCTACCTAGTTAAGCTATAAAGAATAAAGAAATATAAAAGTTAGGTGCTTGGTGGAGTTGTACATGTGTTCCGTGGGCCGTCACATGCGTCGCTCGAGTGATACTTGTGCGGGAAGTACTGCACGAGAAATCGTCACCATGCGGGAAGTACTGCGCGGGAAATCGTCGGCACACGGCTCCCGTCAGATCGTTCGGACGGGAAGATTTCTGGTCTTCCAAGGCTACAGCGCATGTGTTGTTCGCTCCACTTATCGTTATTGCACCAAAAAACAGTATAGGAAACAGCCCAACTAGTCAACATAAAGTGGAGCGAACAAGGGAAACATCGAGCACACGGCTCGGTTCGGTTCTCTTTTGCCTTAATATTTTCCATGGGCTGTCGCTTGGTACGATGGTCTGTGTTAGGAGTGCGTGGCATCGAGCACGGGAAACATCGTTTCGTTTGGGGGAGCGCGGGAAGTATCATACGACGAAACAGGAGTTTAAATAGGCAAAACGGTGATTTAAACGGTCAAAACAACGGATTAAACATTGTACCACCATAACGTTTAAGGGGGTGTTAAATTTGGAGGAATTCTGGAGGAATTTGAATGGTTTGGAAGGATGCTGGAGAAATTTATAAAAGAAAAATACTATTTCAAATAAAAAAAGAAGTTGATTAACAAGTCAGATTTAAAAGCACGCGAACAAGACCTAAACAATGCGTAAACGGGCTAAACAACCGTTTAGGTGATCGGTGCTGGAAACATCAGCGGATTGCTCGGGTCCGAACGCTCGGACCCGAAGAATTCCGCAGCTGGGGCCTGGGATGAAGGATCAGGCGCGCCAATGCCCGTGTCATCGGGCCGGACTGGCTGTAGGTCCATGTAGGCGTCGTAATATTCCAGCCCATGTTACGGGAAGGGACGTCCAACTGCTGGCTCCTATGTAATGCTTGCGTTGCGTGCGACAGAAGATGAACCTGAACTCGAAACAGAACCGAACCGAGCCGTTGGGCGTCGGCGGCGAGCTTCGGCCATCGCCGGAGTCTCGATTACCGCGAGTTCCCCATACCTGAGAGTTTCAATCCATTCCGGTACGGTAACAAGCTCTTCTGCGCCGCCGCCCCTTCTCGCGACCCGCGCCGCATCTCCCGCTCGCGGCCTCCCTCCCCCGCGCAACGCGGCCCCGCTGCCCGCGCGCTCTCCGCGCGCGGCCTCCCTTCCGCGCGCCGCGCGCACGCTCTTCTGCGCCGCCGCCGCTTCTCGCGACCCGCGCCGCATCTCCCGCTCGCGGCCTCCCTCCCCCGCGCCGCGCGCCTCCGCCCCACAGCGCGGACCCTCTCCCGCACGCGCGCGCCTCCCCTGCCTTCGCGTGCGCGCCCCTTGCTGCGTTTTCCCTATTCTACAGTTCTCCTCACAATATAGAATTCTGATGGAATCATTTTGCCTGCTTTGTTTGCATGGCTTTTGGTGTTATATGGTTTAGAATTATTCCTTAGGAAACTAATCTGTGCGTCTATTTGCTGTTTCTATTTTTTTTTATTTCTCTTATCCAACAATTTCATTTGAATTCCAGATAGTATGGCTGCCAAAACGGCTGTAGCTGTCCAAGTGCTCAAGGATGACACTGTTAAACGCACACCCATGGCACGACCTAGCAACGGTCGTGAAGGAAAGCCCATTAGGTTGCTGTCCAACCACTTTGCTGTGAAGCTTAGAGGAGTTGATGCTGTTTTCTACCAATACAATGTAATGAACAACTTTGAAATTCTGCATCTGGTCCTTACCTCATCGATTTATTCTGAAATTATTTTCCTCAAAATCTATTCTGAAATTACTTTTGGTTACATTGTAGGTCTGCATCAAATCTGAGGATGATAAGGTGGTTGATGGCAAGGGTATTGGCCGAAAGGTCATAGATAAACTATTGCAAACATACTGTTCTGAGCTTGATGGGAAGGATTTTGCATATGATGGAGAGAAATGTCTATTTACTGTGGGACCTCTTCCACAGAATAACTTTGAGTTCACTGTTATCTTGGAGGAAACATCTTCAAGGTACATGCACTTTTAGTTTAAACAACTTTTCAGACTGATCTGCTGAAAGTGAAAATATGACTGGTGACTGATTATCCTGCTTAGTTTATTTAGGAATTCTAGCCATTTCCTAATTTGTTTTCGTTCAAGTGGTTTTGGCCAGCCCATTTCTTACACCTTACATTTCTTTTTAGTTGTTTCTGTATGTCTCCACGCTGCTGTTTGCATTTTTTTCTTAGATATATATGTTGCCTCGAAGACAGTCAGGCAGTAGTGAGTCACCATGCCTCTCCTTGATAACCATGATGTGGTGGTCTATCATTAATTTACAAAAGAAATTGAACCTCAACAGAGATAATACTGTTTGATATTCTTTGGACATAGTCTGTTTGTACTGTGATGAGGAAACTCCAATAAGCAGCTTATATGAATATGTACTCAAAGTTCATCTGTTATTCAGGGCTGTTGGTGGAAGTCCGGTGCATGGAAGCCCTACTCAAGCTGACAAAAAGCGGGTCAAGCGATCACATCTGGCAAAAAAGTTCAGTGTAGGCATAAGTTATGCCGCAAAGATTCCTCTAAAGTCGGTTGCTTTGGCTCTTCGAGGAAGCGAGTCAGAACATGCTCAAGATGCTCTGAGAGTCCTTGACATTGTTTTAAGGTAACAGCAGGCTAAGCGGTATGCTTATTTGTTTTGTCATTTCAATAACGTATTTTCTCTGTTTGGTTACCATGTGTCTGTTGTTTGTGCTGTACAGAGGTTGTCTACTTGTTAGGCAGTCATTTTTCAGTGATGATAGTCGAAACCTTGTTGATTTAACTGGTGGAGTTAGTGGCTGTCGTGGACTCCATTCTAGTTTCCGTACTACAATTGGTGGTCTTTCACTAAACATGGGTATGCATTTTAATACATGTAACTGGATTTTGATTCAAATTGCCAATATTGATATAATTGTTTTTCGGTTATACAGATGTTTCAACCACTATGGTTGTAACTCCTGGTCCAGTTATTGATTTTCTCCTCACAAATCAAAATGTGAGAGACATCAGAGATATTGACTGGCCCAGGGTCCGTGGAATAAAATAACTCTCCCTAAAATCCTATATTATTTGTTTTCTGGAGAGCAGAGCTTCAAATATTTTATTAACATCTACCTTTAAATGATGGAGGCCAAGAAAATGCTTAAAAACCTCAGAGTTAAAGCTAAGCACAACAACATGGAGTTCAAGATTATTGGCCTTAGTGATCAACCATGCTCTAGACAGATGTATGGATCTGTTCTTGCGATGTGCTTTCTGCACTATTCCATTCCTTTGCTGATCCTGTAATATATTATGCACAGGTTTCCAATGAAAGTTCGAAATGGAAGCATTGAAATTCAAACTGTGGATATCACTGTTCAGGATTATTTTAAGTCCAAGCAAGTTGAACTAACGATGCCTTATCTGCCATGTCTTGATGTGGGAAAACCAAAACGCCCTAATTAGCTCCCAATTGAGGTTGCAACCCTGCTTTTGTTTCAGTCTACATTCGACAATGTAGTCTGGTTATCATAAGTCCCTTTTTTAGATAAAGGGGTTGTCATAGTTTCTGACTGCGCTTGATGTTTGAGTTGGTGCTATTAAAATTTCTATTTTGCAGTTATGCCACATGGTATCACTTCAACGTTATACAAAGGCACTGTCTTCTCAACAAAGGGCAATGTTGGTTGAAAAGTCACGACAGAAACCTCAAGAAAGAATGCGAGTTGTTACAGATGTGGGTTACTAAATTCTGTCAATGTTATTACTCCTCCCTGCTTTCTCCCCTTAACTTGGTACTTACAGCTAAAATGTGCAGGCTGTAAAAAGTAATATGTATGATGATGATCCAATCTTATCTTCCTGTGGTATTGAAATTGAGAAACAATTTACTCGTGTTGACGCTCGTGTTCTCTCTGCACCAACGGTTAGCCTATTTTGCCTTTTCTTTCATTATCACACTTTCATATATGAGTCATGTTTTTTAATTGTTTGGATTGGATATGCTATTCAGCTAGTTGTGGGGAACAGTGAAGACTGCATCCCGAACAGGGGTAGGTGGAACTACAATAATAAGGTTGTTACTAAGCTACTTGTGAGAGAACACATTTATCTCAGAACATTGTGCTGAACTTCACCTTTTTTTCACTATTGCAGAGGCTATTGGATCCTGTCAAGATTGAGCACTGGGCCATTGTTAATTTCTCTGCTCGTTGTGACATGAGCCGAATCTCAAGAGAGTTGATAAACTGTGGACGCAGCAAAGGCATTGTAAGTCTTTTGTGGTATTTTATTTTCTTTCATGGTTTGAGGGATGGGATGGCGATGGATCATCTCAAGTTCTCAACGTAACCAACTTACTTCGTTTGAGGAACCCTCACAAACAAAAGATTAGCATAACATGAGGAATGGTGTGATCCAAAGAAAATTGATGGGATTACCCCATGATGGGCCACACTATCCTTGTTGGGGTTGATCCTTAAAACTAAATACCCCCACGAAAGCTTGAACATATTTAGCATTCTTGTTATTCTGTGCTTTGACCATACAAGTTATCCCTTGTTTTGTGCAGTTCATTGAACGTCCTCACACCTTGGTGGATGAGGACAGCCAGTCTAGGAGATGTTCACCTATGGAAAGGGTTGAAAAGATGTTTGAAAAAGTCAAAACAAGCCTTCCCGGTCCTCCAGAGTTTCTCCTTTGTGTTTTACCAGAGAGGAAGAATTGTGATATTTACGGTAATATGATATACAGTTACTGTTTCTATGCTACCATGTATCCTTTATGCAGCTAAACTTAAAATGCCTTTGAAGGGCCATGGAAGAAGAAAAATCTTCATGAAATGGGTATTGTCACTCAATGCATTGCTCCCAGTAATAAGATGAATGATCAATATTTCACCAATGTTCTTCTGAAAATTAATGCTAAGGTATACATTTGTCAGCATCTGATTTGTGGCCGCACCTTGTTTGAACATATATCCTGTTATTAGTTTTCTTTCTTGACTAATATGATTTTTCCTGTCGACTAGCTTGGTGGAATGAACTCTAAACTGGCATTGGAACATCGTCAAATGATACCAGTTGTGACTCAAATACCAACATTAATTCTTGGCATGGATGTTTCACATGGTTCTCCAGGTCGAGCAGATATACCATCAATTGCTGCGGTGTGTCTTGTTCTCTCTTGTGTTACTTGCATCGAGCGAAGATTGGTTTTCACATTACTTTTCATATACCTATGTGCAGTCTCATAGTTTAAATGAACAGCAAGCACAATAATTTGCACCGTGTTTAGGGAACACCAATATGAATGTTATGGCGAATGGGCTGAAGTGTTATGGCGAGTGTGTCGGTTCTTGCCCTGGACGTGCTGCATCACTGCCTAGGATTAGTTCACGGTTTGTTAGTTTGTTCAGATCTGTTAGCAGATAGAATTGATTTGTTACTTGGATAAGATTTGTTAGGAGGTCTGTTAGGTGCCTAGTCTATAAAGGCAGCTGTGAGTCATATGGTAGGCAAGCAGAAATAGATCTAAGAAGCAGCTCGGAGTCTCCAGAGGGAGGGTGAGTTAGCTGATCTATCTGCTATTCTTCTATCCCGTTCCCCAATCAGTCTACCACAACATGTTTGGTGTCGGAGACCTTGATCCTCGGGGAAACAAGAACATTATTAAGATGAAAAGACCCAGCAAGGGTGGTAGTGCCAGTGGAGGTAACAGGGAGAAGGGATGCGTTACCGGCGACAATTGAGGAGGGAACAGGGTACCGGGAAGAGGAACTGTGAGAAAGAGTACCAGCATTGGAGGTATAAGTCACGTGTGAAGTAGCCCCAGAGTCGAAGTACCATTCTTGCCGAGGTGATTGTTGCAGGGTCATGGTGCTGAAGGAGTGGGCGAGGGCCGACTGGGGTTGAACCCAGATGGCGGAGAGGGCACCCACCCGTTCTGTGCGCCAGCCAGGAGAGCATGTGGAGGCCCTGACTGCTCCAGGTGTGACTGGGCTGGAGGTTGCTGATGCGGACCGGCGGGGAGGGGCGCGAGGGGAGGACGGGGTCCATACATCTGTATGGAACCAGCCCAAGGGTGGAGGTAGGAGATGGGTTGGCTGCCGTCCACTAGAGCCTCCTTGCACACACACCCGCGCCCAGGAAGGACCTCCAGGAAGGACGGGAAGGGACGTCCACGCTGGACTGGAGGTGAAGGCCTATGGAGGTGAACTTGTCGTTGAGGCCATGGATCAAATTGAGGACGAGGGTGCGGTTGGGGACGTGTTCGCCGAGATCCTTGAGGGCATCAGCCATGCCCTTGAGGCGCTTGCAGTAGTTTGTGACAGGGATAGCACGCGCCTCCCGGTTCCCTAGAAACTGGGACTCCACAGCAAGCCATGCCGAGCGGGCCATAGAGCGGGAACGAGGTGCCTGGATGGTTTCGGCCAGCTCGGGGGATGGCACCGTAAATCCAGGACTTGACCATGCAGTCCATGCGAGCCTAGTCCGGGAAGGTCGGGTTGGGGTCGTCTTGCAGAACATGGTCCTCGAGGGAGAACTTTACCAAGGGGAGGAGGAAGAGCTCACACCATCGGGAGTACTGGCTGGAGTCGAAGTCGAGGACGATCGCACAAGGGTGCGGATGTTCTAGACGTCAATGGCATGAGAGTGAAGGTTGGCGATGATTGTGGCTTCAAGGAGGAGTAGGGCACCGTGAAGGGAGTGGGGAGTGGGCGCAGAATCAGTGCACGCGGCCTCAGCGCATCAGCAGCATCCGCTGCGGCTCCCCCGCGATCGCGGCGCTGGTGCTCCTAATCAGTGGCTGCCTGGTGCTCCTAAGCAGCGGCCGAGGGCGCGGTTGTGCTTGTTCGGGCGAGCAGCACGCTTGCGAGGGCAGCGGCCGTGTGCATGCAGCGGCGCCGGTGGAGAGGGGGCGGTGCGGCGGAGTGCGGCTGGTCGGTCTGCGAGAAAGAGGGCGCAGCATGATGGCGGGCCTAGGGTGCGGAAGAATGGCCAGGAGAAAGCCGGATGATTGATACCATGTGAGATTAGGCACGGGATAGTAGATTGATTATCAGGGCTATGAGGTTACGCATATATAGGCAAGGATGACCCAGGTTTATAGAAACAGAACCAGCAGGGATCCTTGCCTTATAGATAATCAATCTATCTATCGTAACCATATAGGGACTAGGCCCGATAGAATGTGCAGGCCCATTAGGGCTGTGACACCTTCTGTCTAACACTCCCACACCTGCAACCCTCGCAATGCTACCAGCAGTGATGCCTTCTTCGCCGCCAGGACTGAAGCCACCGGACAGGGTTGGCAGAATCCGCAGGCCTCTGGACATATGAACACACCACCGTGGATGTATGTGTTCTCCCTAACGTCGATGCCTCCAGGGGCTCCCAGGCTCACCCGTGGTTGCAGCCGTCTCAGCCTACAACCCACATGCACGCCATCTCTAGTGAGGACCCCACCTGGGACAAGGCTCCGGCGATTTCCACCATAGTTGTTCAGCGAGCAGCCTTGGCCTTATCCAAAGCATAAATATCTGGTTCATCTAGGGGAGTCAAAGCCAACCGGCGCTGTGGGCTTCTTTCCATGGGAACATGTTTTGCTGGGCTGCTTATCATTTCAGCTTCCAGAGAAGGCCTGACCTTGGCCTGTTGCAACACACATGCCCTGTTTTGTCTGGCCCCTGTTATAGTGCATCCATTGTTACGTGTGCTCCTTTGTGGCCTGACGTGCTGTATCAGTAGCTGTTTAGGGATTAGTTTGTTAGCAGGTAGGGTTAATTAGTGCAACAGCCTTCTGCACTGGAAACATTCCATTCGTCACCTCTGCATATCACAGCTCAAGGACGAGCTGTCTTCAAAGGGTGGTGAAGTGTTATGGCGAGTGGGCCGGTTCTGGCCCTGGACATGCTGCATCACAACCTAGGATTAGTTCACAGTTTGTTAGTTTGTTCAGATCTGTTAGCAGATAGAATTGATTTGTTACTTGGATAAGATTTGTTAGGTGCCTAGTCTATAAAGGCAGCCGTGGGCAAGCAGAAATAGATCTAAGAAGCAGGTCAGAGCCTCCAGAGGGAGGGCGATTTAGTCGATCTATCTGCTATTCTTGTATCCTGTTCCCCAATCAATCTACTACAACAATGAGTTTATGACACTATTCTGAAAATTTAGAGCACTGTTAGAGCTTGTTTTCCTAGTTTATGATTGCTGGTTTCAAGTCTCTTTTTATTGCCCCCCCCCACACACACACACATGTCAATTGACTCAAAATTGACATGGGGGGAGGCAATAAAAAGAGACTTGAAAGTTTTGGATATACCTAAAGACTTGTGATGTTATAGGAGTGCTTGGAAAGCAGCTATTGACGTTCCTGAACTGTGATTAAGGGCTCTTGTTGGGTTTCAACTCTAGCCTACCCCAACTTGCATGGGAGTGAAAGGCTTTGTTGTTGTTGTTGTCGTCGTCTATGCTAAAGTTTTCCTCTGTAGGTTGTGGGATCTAGATGCTGGCCATTGATAACACGGTATAGAGCATCAGTGCGGACCCAGTCTCCAAAGGTAGAGATGATTGATTCTCTATTTAAGCCACTGGATGATGGGAAGGATGATGGCATAATTAGGTGATTTAAATTAACATCTTCTCAGTTTTCTGTGTTATGTTCTTCTAGTTGACCTCACGGTATCTTCATGTTGTATGAAGTAATTTTGCTCAGGAAGTGGGGCCTTAGTCTGTTATCTAAAAGAGAACAGGAACGGCCTAGTACCCTTTTCACTTTTTCATTGCATTGCAGGGAACTTCTACTAGACTTCTACCAAACCAGTCAACAAAGAAAGCCTAAGCAGATAATCATCTTCAGGTGTGTACTGAGTTAATTTTTATTTTCAGTTATATATGCCTATGATTGTATCATACATTGATGTAAAAGGCACATTTGTTTCTGGTACGAGTTTGTAAGAGTGTGTGTTGGTGTGAGCGTGGTGGGTGTGCTGTAATTTATTTGTTATCTTCTTAATGCAAAGCGGGAGCTCTCTGCACTGGGTACGCCCTTTATCTTAATGCAATGACACCCAACTCTCCTGCGTATCTGGGGAAAAAATTGTGTCATACATTGTTAAGCTGCACTGAATGTGTACTTCACTATTTTTTTTCTCCAACTCAAAGGATCATTATTTTGGTGCAATTAGGAATGATTTGTTTTCTTGAATGATCATTATTTTGGTGACTCAAAGGATTATTTGGTCTTTCCATGTTAATTTGATTGTGTTAATTTAGAATAATGAATGTTGGTCTGGTAAGATGTGTTTGACTCCAATAGAATTTTACCAATCTTAAGCCAGTAAAAGTCAGATATCTGTATCTGATTTTGTATCTATATAGTTATTGGTTTCTTTTGTAATAAAAAAACTATCATTTCCTACCAGCTTTTCTTAAAATTATCTCTGCAGTTCTTATTGAAGTGTGAGCTCTTTTGTGTTAAAAGGATGAAAATCAGTTTATAGTTCAGAATTGACTTTACTTTGCGTGAAATGCATCATAAACATCCATAGTAAGAACTATTTCTGATTATTCAGTTGGTGTCCTTTGATTTTCCTTTTGAGAATTGAAGTTGATACACTTCATTAAATGAATATTATATTTGAGTAATTTTGTACAGTGATGGTTAATTAAATCATGTATGTTCCTTTCTATTTATTTTTTGGATGTAAGGGTATCTTTGTGGTTTCTTTTTTCTGTATTGATTTGCTTTATTTGTTCCTGCACGATGAACTGGGCATTCACTGGTGCTGTGACTTCGTTTAGTCTCTGTAATGAGTTCTTGGTATTCAGTGTTGATGAATTCTTATCCTTATGGTCTACTTATGCAGGGATGGTGTTAGCGAGTCTCAGTTTTGCCAAGTACTGAACGTTGAGCTTAATCAAATCATAAAGGTTCTGCTGTGCACTGTTTTGCTTGAGAATTCCTTGGTTTTCTGGCATTTCCTAATAAGAGTTAGACGATACAGGCATATCAGAGTATGGGACAGGGGGACCTTCCGAAGTTCACAGTGATCATTGCCCAAAAGAATCACCACACAAAACTCTTCCAAGCTGATTCACCAGAGAACGTTCCACCTGGTAAGCACCCTTGTCCTGTTGTCCTGCTTAATACTGCTAAAGATTCTTCCCCTTTAAACAGCTTGAGCAACTTACACTTTGTCTTTGCATCAGGGACTGTTGTAGACTCCGGCATTGTTCATCCAAGACAGTATGATTTCTACATGTGCGCTCATGCTGGACCAATTGTAAGTTCTCCTAGAGTAGTTTTGGATTTTGCTTGACCATGCTTGTTAGTAATTGCTTGATTGGAGATGTTTCAGACATGTTTCATATTGAGCATTACCATGTTCACTTACACAGGGTACTTCAAGGCCAACCCATTACCATGTGTTGCTTGATGAGATTGGCTTCTCCGCGGATAATCTCCAGAAGCTAGTTCTTTCACTTTCATATGTGTAAGCACATATGTTCATGTCTATTTCCTTATTTCTTACTCTTATGTGAGGATAACATGTTTGTGCTTGTATAGGTACCAGAGGAGCACCACTGCGATTTCTGTGGGTACGTTGATGTTTCCTTTTGTACTAAAAAAACATCACGCACTGTTTGATGATTCTTCACTTCTTCCTATTTTAGAAGACATTAGTTGCTTTTTTGCTGAATGCAGTTTTTGCTTTTTCAATGGCACCTATCTGTTATGCCCACCTCGCAGCAGCTCAGATGGGCCAGTTCATGAAATTTGAAGAGTTTGCAGATACATCGTCAGGGAGTGTCAATTCATCATCGTCAGTATCAATACCAGAACTGCCACGGCTGCATGCTGATGTCTGCAGTTCCATGTTCTTCTGTTGAGATGATTTTAGTTTGACCGTTGTGGGGTAGGGCTATTTCTTTGTGAAGGAAGCTTATATGTTGTTGGTACACAGCAGGTTAACTGTTTTGTGAAGAAACCAAGTAGGTCGTTAGTTGTCGTACATCGATGTACGCCGGCATATTCTGGAGCCCATTTTTCTAACATTGTTATGTCTATAGGTGGATTAATTTAATGACAAAAAAATAGGAAAAGAAAATATGTTCATGCGAAAGATCAAGAATACACTCAATTTAACTATTCTCCTTGGCTGGCCTCCTCGGTCCTCACTTGTTCGTGTTCAACGTATCTAACTAGATCAACCCTAAGGGCGCCGAAGGTGCATAAATCGATGGCCTAGATGCCGGGCCCATGTTGACTCTCATGAAAATAGATAATTTCGTGGCGGGATAGCCATTTTCATGAGGGGTGTTAAATACTCATGAAAATAGCTGTTTTTATGGTGCGTGGAGCACTCATGAAAATAAGTTTTCGTGGCGAGATTTACATCACCCTCATGAAAAATGATTATTCTCGTGACAGTGTGTTTCAACTCTCACGAACTGTCTCCTCACGAAATCTCTATTTTCTGGTAGTGTTTGGGGAGGTTCCCTCCCCACCAAGGTAAGTTTTTTTTTTGCATTTAGCTAGTTTGATTTCTTTCTTTTATTGCATTTAAAAAAATCCAAACATAATAAAAATATCAAAAATGTTTTCCTTTGTTTTGTATATGCTTCATCTGTGTTTATCTCTTTCTATTCTAGAAATGATGAATAGTTACTCTGTTAATGTTTCTCTAGTGCCTAGTTTATAGCTTGGCATTTCTCTAAGTTTGGATTATTTAGCTCACATGAAACCATCATGAACCTAAAACTTTGTGGGATGCAAATGCAATAACTAAGTCTAAGCTGTTGTGAAGAGATAGCAAAGATAAGAGCTACTATAATATTGTTCCCAATGAATATGATTATCGATTTTGTTCTAAAAAAATGATGAATAACCTTATTGTTCCTCAATGGTAAAAAATCCTACCAAAGACATATATGATCTTACATGATATAAGCTTTCTACATAAGCTATTGACTTTGTGTTGAGTTTTGTCAAGTCTTGTTGATCCTTGTTGAGAGACTTGCTCCCAAAATTAAGATCATGTACATGCCACATATATATGTTGCTTCTACACTAGAAGTAAGCAAAAACATACCATTCAATTTCCACAAAAATAAATGCTCCATATTCTAAAAGTGTGATCTCTCTCTCTCTAATTTTTTTTAGATGAGACATAAGGCTATGCAAAAGTAAAAAATAAAAATAAAAAATATGGACACAAAAAATATGTGAGCACATAAAGGCTCATGAATAGGAAAAAAAGGTAATAGCCATGTCTCAAAATAATAAAAATAGAGAGAGATCATATAAAATGGAGTATTTTCATATATTATGTTCCACACACATGCATATCTTGATCTAAGAGTATGACATTTTTCTCATTAGATACAAGCTTTAGCTTTACAAAAATATGTAAGATATGTATGCTACATATTTTATCCTACCCAAAGCTCCACATATGCCATTAAAAGTAGGATAAGAAGACAACTTAAAATATGCCTTAGTGAGGAGACACACCATTTGAGCGACATGAGAGTACCATACGAGGAACATTAAGTTTTCTTTTGAAAAATATTATAAAATCTCCAATATGAAACTTGCGCGGGATAAGAAAAATGGTTCTCAAGTTAAAGTTGTTCTACCTCAACCGCGCGAGACAAAGGATAAGGCCATATGCCCCGTGAAGGACTAAAAGAATATGGGTGAGTTTTCAACGTTGCTGATTTTTCAACTCAAAGAGAAATATGCTAATGTGAAGCATTATAGCAACCACTAATCCACCAAGGCTAAGTTAAATTATTTGCTCGGGACAAGCAAAGGTTAAGCTTTGGGGATCTTGTTGACGGTGAAAATTTCATACTTTTATATAGTCAAAACACCATCAAGATCCTCGAAATAAAAGGAATAATAGCATAACATGAGTATATTTTTATCAATACACTACCGGACTCCTTGAGTTTGCCGAGTGCCCGAAACACTCGGCAAAAGACATAAAACACTCGGCAAATGGTTCGCTGAGTGTAACACTTTCAATGCACGACACTAAGCTTAAAAGCAAGGACAGCAAAGCCAACTTTGCCGAGTGTCTTTTATCGGGCACTTTCGGCAAAGCCTTTTTGCCGAAAGTGCCCGACACTTTCGGCAAAGTTGAAACTGAAAAAAACCCGAAAAAATAGGAATTTTTACCCAAAAAAATGAAATTTTTTTTTATCGATGGAGTCCCCCACCGGCCAGCGCCCACCCATCTACGACATTTTTCACGTGAATTTCATGGCTACGCGGCCGACGCAATTCGAACCCGAGACCTCCTGCTGTGCACGTACCTTCTCTACCACTACACCACACTCTCACTTGTGTCTGGATTTTGTTTTAGTTCCTAATATATTATACTAAACCGAGTGTAAATTGCATGTTTGAGGCCCTAAATGAATTCAAATAAAAAAGTTGTAAACTACAAAGTTTCATAACTTTTCGAGATCTACACTTTTAGTTTAGGAAGTTTTTCTATCCGAGGTCGTTTACAAAATTTGAATTTTAAAATTTTAAAATTCAAACACAGTTTTGCATGACAAGATGTTTTCAAATCAAAAAGTTGTTAACTACAAAGTTTCATAACTTTTCGAGATCTACACTTTTAGTTTAGGAAGTTTTTCCATCCGAGGTCGTTTACAAAATTTGAATTTTAAAATTTTGAAATTCAAACACAGTTTTGCATGACAAGATGTTTTCAAATCAAAAAGTTGTCAACTACAATGTTTCATAACTTTTCGAGATCTACAGAGTTTATTTTGGTTGTTTTTTCATCCGAGGTCGTTTGAAAAGTTCGAATTTTAAAATTTTAAAATTCAAACGTAGTTTTGCATGACAAGATATTTTCAAATTAAAAAGTTGCCAATTATAAAGTTTCATAACTTTTCGAGATCTACGAAGTTTATTTTAGTTGTTTGATCATCTGTTCATCCGACATGGTCGTTCTAACATTGTTCACAAATCTTATACATCTTTCTTGTAGTTTCATAAACTACAAGAGAGATATGTTAGATTTGTGAACAAATTTATTTTCACTTTGTCGTATGAAGAAAAGATCAAAACAAACATTGTACATCTTGATGAGTTATACAACTTTGTAGTTGAAAACTTTTTCATTTGAATTAATTTACTGCTTCAAAATGTGCTTTGAAATTTTCTTTGCCGAGTGTAAAAAAAAAACACTCGGCAAAGAAGCTCTTTGCCGAGCATAAACTGTTATGCCGTGAGTTGTGTCTTCTCGGCAAACACCATGTTTGCCGAGTGCCCGAAATCTTACCCACGGCAAAGGTGGGGACACTCGGCAACTTAGGTGTTTCCGGTAGTGATAACAAGTTTTACTTTACTATTTTCATGTGGAACGTTACAAAATGGAGAGAAATGAGCCAGTTGCACGAAACCCTTCAAATCGAGAGGCCACCACCAATAGTGAGCACCTGCAGAAGAACAATCGAACAGCTTGAGTTGAGAAGCTCCAAAACGAAGAAAGAACGCCATCACGTTGCATTATTCTGAAATTGGAAGCCGTTTCTACTCGCCTGTCCGGTGATGTAACTAGCGGCAGGATGAACAGCCAGGAACCCCACCAGGCCGGCAACCTCTTCTGGCCTCCCAAACCGTCCTATTGTTGTCAATCTCGTGCACTTAGCATCATTCTGTAATTAGGAAGTTGCATTAGCATGTTTCAATTACTAAACTTAGCTGCATGTGAGATGAGCGGTGTAGAACAGGCCAGAACCACGCTGCGTTCGTGGTGCGGCTATGAGTGGTCACCGCCCGTGCATGTAGGAAAGCGTCCCAGCGCTAAAGGCGGGCACGACGCAGCGTGGAGGCGTGCACGGCGGGGGATCGTCGGTCTAAGATCGTGTAATCACCGTGAATAAATAGAGAAAAAAAGCGGAAAAAGCTGCAACGTTTGGCGGCGCCATTTGCGTTGTGTTCGATTCTGAGCGAAGCGGAGCGAGAGCAAGCGACATCGTCTTGTGGCCTTGCGACGCCGAGCGTTGAGAGATCGCCGTCGGTAAGCTGTCCCGCGGCGGCGCCAACAACTCGCATCGAGCCGTCATTGTATGTTCTCGGTGGCTCGGTGAGCCCACCGCGTGAACCACCTCGCAAGAAGTTCGTCGTTCAAGGAGATCGCCGTCGACACCGCCGCCGGACATGACCGGCACCAACTCGGGCGCGTCGGGGTCTGGCTCGGGACATGGAGTGCGAGAAGGCTCCCTGATGTGGCCGATGCTGACCCGCTCGAATTATGCCGAGTGGGCCGTCTTGATGAAGTGCAACTTCAAGATCCTGGAGGTTTGGGAGGCGATCGAGCCCGGAGGTGACACGGTGAAGAGGACCCAAGATCGCCAGGCGATGGGCGGTCTCCTCCGATCCGTGCCGCAGGAGATGTGGCAGATGTTGGGGGCGAAGAAGAATGTCAAGGAGGCGTGGGAGGCAGTGAAGAGCATGCGTGTCGGTGCCGAAGCGCGTGAAGGAAGCCAATGCCCAGCGCCTACTCCAAGAATTCGAGAACATCTCGTTCAAGGAGGAGAGAGATGAGATGATTTTTTTGCTGCGCATCAATGGCTTCGGCGGCGGATCTGCGCCGCGTCGGGTGAGGCCATAGAAGATTCACGTGTGGTGAAGAAAATGCTCCGGGTGCTCCCCAAAAGGTACCTGCAGATCGCGATCTCCATCGAGACTCTGCTTGATCTGAAAACTCTGACGATCGAGGAGCTTGTTGGGAGACTGAAGATGGCGGAAGATCGTCTTGGTCTGGACGCCGTCACTGACAAGGCTGGTAAACTCCTACATCTGATGACGGCAGGATGATCGGGCATCGAGGAATCGCCATTTCAGGAATCGCATGATGCTGGGGGAAAGAAGTCATGGAAGGAGAAAAGTCAGTGGTGGCAAGTCAAGGGTGGCGGGCGCGGTAACCAGGCGAGAAGAAAGAGCCCGTCGTCAAGCTCACATCCATGGGCACTCCAAGGCGCAAGGGAGATCACGAAAACTATGGCATATATGGCCAAGGACCGCAAGAGGCCCAAGAAGGAGAAGAAAGAGGAGGCACATCATGTGCAAGTGGAGAAGGATCCATCACATTGTTGTTGCCCAAACGCCGTTTCAGGAGGTGACACGGCGGGTCTCGAGATCCGGTCGTGCATCATCGCATGAGGACAAGGTCTTCCTGGCGACCGTGATGGAGACGACGACGTTGGTCTTGGACACCGGGCGAGCAATCATATGACCGGGAGGCGTGATGCCCTCGTGTCGCCGACACGTCGGTCCGGCGGGACGGTGCGATTTTTTAGATGGATCACTTTCGTCTACCGATCGAGGGCATGGGCTCCGTTGCTCCAAACGAAGAAGCAAAGCCACAAGGTATTAATCAAGTCTATTACATTCCCAAGTTGAAAAGTAACATAGTCAGCCTAGGCCAACTAGAAGAAGGGGATGCAAAGTTGTGCTAGAAAATGGTTTTACGTAGTGTGTATGACATTGAACGCACATCTTGGCAAAAGCACCTCGGTGTGGAAATCGTTTCATTTGCTTGAGGTACAACTTGCTTCTCTCTGTTTGTTTGGCTGCAAAAGTGAATGAGAAGGCATGGCTATGGCATGGTCGATATGGCCATCTCAACTTGAGCACTCGTTTGTAAAGGGAATGGTGGAGGGCATGCCACTCTTGGATCGTGTGGAGGAGTTACTGTGATGGTCATGCACTAGGAAAGCGACATCGACAGTCATTTCCACAAGTGGCAAATTACAGGTTTTTACAAACCATTGGATTTGTTTCATGCTGATCTTTGTGGCAGATCAAGCCTAAAACACCCGAGGGGGTAAGAGTTACTTCCCTCTTTGTTAGTTGATGATTATTCAAGATATATGTGGATTGAAAACAATCAAAGATGAAGCATTCAGATGTTTCAAGCGTGTGAAGGCTCGACAGAGACTGAGTTGGGTGGAAAACTTCGTGCTTTTCGCAAATGACTGTGGAGGTGAGTTCAACTCCATTGAGTTTAAAGAATCTTGTGATGAGCGGGTCAAGCATTTCACTACCACGCCCTATACTCCACAACAAAATGGTGTGGTGGAGCGTCCTAACAGACAGATGGTAGAAATGGCAAGATGTCTGTTGAAGAGCAAGAAAATGCACCGAGAATTTTGGGGGAGGCGGTCACCACAATTGTTCTACTGTTGAATAGAGCTCCCACAAAAATTCTCCGAGTAACACTCTATGAAGCTTGGTACAAGAGGAAGCTGCGGTGCATCATTTGAGAATATTTGGTTGTCTAGTTCATGTGAAGAAAGTAGGTCCGGCATATCCAAGTTGGTGACAGATCAACACCAATGGTGTTTATTGGCTATGAGACAGAACCAAGGGTATCGAGTCTATGACCCGATAGCCAAGAAACACATATCAAGGGATGTGATATTCGAGGAAGGTAAAGCTTGGGATTGGCAAGGTGAAGCTCAACTTTGATCCAACAACATCATCTTTGATGTGGAGTTTTACCTTTGTTCTTTGGAACAAGAATCGATGGCAGCATCTAATCACTTTGCTGAGAGAGCTGAAGTCTGTGATGGTGATGATTGAGCCGACTACTCATGATCAATGGCGCTTTAACACGATTTCTAGTCTTTGGATCAAATCAAAACACACCACCGAGGCGCTCCAGTTGAGCAAGAGATGATTTTGCCACACCACCCTCTAATGCGAAAAACTACGAAAGTGGAGAAGGAGATTGAGAACACTGCAGAGTGCATATGATGAGGCCGAAAAGCTCATGATTTCCAAATAGTGGCTTGTGTTATCTTCTTTGCAGAGGAACCTAGAAGTGTGGAAGAGGCATTGGAAGAACAGTGTTGGAGGGATGCTATGGTCACTTTGAAATGAACTCAATTCAAACCAACAAAACATGGGAGCTATACATCGATTGCTACCACCGGACACCGAGCCATTGGGCTTAAATGGGTCTTCAAAGTCAAAAGAGATCCTGATGGGAAGATCAACAAACACAAGGCTCGGTTAGTTGCAAAGGGGTATGCCCAGCGTGAGGGGGTGGACTTTGATGAGGTTTATGCCCCAGATGGCAAGAATTGAGACAAGAAGATCGCTGATTGCTCTAGCTAACGCAGAGGATGGCAAGTGCATCACATGGATGTGAAATCAGCGTTTAAATGGTGATCTGAGTGAGGAGGTGTATGTTCAACAACCTCCCGGGGTTTGTTGTCAAGAATGGCGTGGCATGGTACTTTCGCACCAAGAAAGCTTTGTATGGACTTCGTCAGGCTCCAAGAGCTTGGAATGCTCGGCTTGACAAAGAATTGCTGAAACTCGGTTTTGTCAGAAACCCACTTGAGCATGCTGTGTACAGAAGAAGTCAAGGCACAGAATTATTGCTAGTTGGGGTCTATGTAGATGATCTAATAATCACTGGGTCCAGCAAGAAAATCATTAATGCATTCAAGGAGGAGATGATGAGAAGTTTCAGTATGAGTGATTTGGGACTGCTAAGTTACTATCTCAGGAATTCAGGTGAATCAAACTGATGGGATGACCACATTATGTCAGAGCTCATATACTCTAAAAATATTGGAGCAGGCGGGAATGAAAGGCTGCAATGCCTGCAGTGTTCCAATGGAGAACAGGTTGAAACTGAGCAAGAAGGATGAGTCACCATCAGTCGACAAAACCAAATACAGAAGTATAATTGGGAGCCTGAGATACCTAGTGAACACAAGGCCGGATATTGCCTTTGCTTGTTGGGATTGTTAGCGATTCATGGAAGATCCAAGAGCAAGACACTTTGGGCAGCTGTCAAGCAGATTCTAAGGTACTTGGCAGGGACAGTGAACTATGGCTGTGTATACAAGTTGGGCACAACTGAAACTAAGCTGCTGGGCTACAGTGACAGTGACTTAGCTGGTGATGTTGATGACCGGAAGAGCACAAGCGGCTCAGTGTTTCTGTTGATGAAACAGTCTAGTGACCTGGGTGTCACGAAGCGAGTGGTAGCACTCTCATCGTCGTGCGAGCGAATACATTGCCAATGCAAATGCAGCTGTCAGGGCATTTGGCTCGATCGATTATTGGGTGAACTGCTAGGAATACAAGCACCAAAGGTGAGGCTGTTGGTTGACAACAAATCGGCTATTGCTCTAAGCAAGAACCCAGTCCATCATGAAAGGAGTAAGCACATAGACACAAAGTATCATTTCGTCAGAGATTGTGTCGACAGAGGAGAAGTTGATATTGATCATGTGAGCACAGGAGAACAGCTTGCAGACATACTGACAAAGGCGCTTGGGCGTGTCGGGTTCGTCGAGCTCCGTCAGCAGCTGGGTGTGATAGAGGTGCAGCGAGATTAGGGGGTGAAATGTTGTCAATCTCGTGCACTTAGCATCATTCTGTAATTAGGAAGTTGCATTAGCATGTTTCAATTACTAAACTTAGCTGCATGTGAGATGAGCGGTGTAGAACAGGCCAGAACCACGCTGCGTTCGTGGTGCGGCTATAGTGGTCACCGCCGTGCATGTAGGAAACGTCCCGCGCTAACACGGCACGACGCAGCGTGAGGCGTGCACGGCGGGGGATCGTCGGTCTAAGATCGTGTAATCACCGTGAATAAATAGAGAAAAAAAAGCCAGAAAAGCTGCAACGTTTGGCAGCGCCATTTGCGTTTGTGTTCAGTTACAGAGCGAGCGGAGCGAGAGCAGGCGACGTCGTGCGCGAGCGCGGACGCCGAGCGTTGAGAGATCGCCGTCGGTAAGCTGTCCCGGCAGCCGGCGCCAACACCTATATATGATTTGCATCAGCAGCATTCAACAGCGGCAGTGTGAAATTAAATTCACGATTCAGACACCAACAGATGCTGAGAAGAGAAGATTGCAGTGCTACCTAATGGTATGGTCTCGAGCGCCTTCCTTTCCACATCGTCCCCTAGTTTGGCGGTCATGTCGGACGCCACCCAGCCCGGTGCTACGGCGTTCACCTACAAAGCCGCCAACAAGCTTAATTAGGGTATGTTTTGTTTCATTCATCTTCAGGATTCGACTTCAGGTATGGTGCGGCAGAAGCACGGATACACTATATATATAGGAAATACTTGCATTGATGTTTCTGCTGCCGTACTCCCTGGCCATGGCCTTGGTGAGGCCGATGACCCCAGCCTTGGCGGCGCAGTAGTTGGCCTGCCCGACATTGCCGATGATCCCGGAAACTGATGCGATGTTGATGATCCTTCCCTGAGTGAGGTATGTATTGTATGTATAAGCAACCAAGCAACGAGTAATAATAATGAAATAAAAATGGTGCTACGAAGTTAACTAATATAATATATGATCGTGAGGCGTCACAGTTAGCTAGCTGCAGTTACCTTCTTCCTCTTCATCATCACGGTGGCTGCAGCCTGCTGAACAATGAGCTAGCCCAAGTTAGTTAAAGCTCCATGCATGGCAAGAGGAAGACGTACCACATGCATCCCTAGTTGACAGGCAGGACGCGGAAGAGGTCAAGAAGGAAGCAAGATTGCGGAGGACCTGCGCGCAGAGGTAGACGCCTGTGAGGTTGACATCAACCACCTCTTGCCACTGGGTCCTCTTCATCCGCATCAGCAGTGCGTCACGGGTAATCGCCTGTTGGTTACTCAGTCAGTCATCCGATCGATCGAAACAAAGTTGGTTATTTGTGCCCAATCTTAGTGTGAAATACAGTACTATTGTTGTTGAAACTAAATGGTTTATCCAAAAACTAGACTAAGGCAGGCAGCACGTTGCGAATGGGATAAAAAATATTCAGACCTGCATTGTTCACCAGGACATTCAGAGTTCCCCAAGCATCAATTGCCTGCGGCAGAGAAGAGATGAAACACAATCGTCACGTCACTCATACAACAGCACCAAATCGATGAACCCTGTAATGTACTTATTTGATTCCCCTATTCCTATATGAGTGAGCCAAGGTTAACTCACCGCCCTCATCATGGATTCGACGTCGGCCTCGCAAGAGACGTCGGCAGCGAAGCTGATCGCCGTCCCACCGAATTCCTTGATCTGCACGGATCGGATCACCAATTCACCATTTAGTTATATATATGTATATGTTGTTTTCATTTTGACAGGAGAGATCAAAGAAACCATGACGACATGAAAATAAAATGTATATATCACCAGTTTCAGGCGTGCATCTGGCATGATATATTCATGATGAACTGTACGCTGTTGGGGTTTAATCATTCAATCAATCAGCGAATGTGGAAACAATTAATCAGCTAGCTAGCTCACCTCTCTGCACACTTCTTCAGCTTCCATGCCTGACTTGGCATAGTTCACAATCACCTTAAATCAACGAACAAGGTAAAACGCATGCATGTTGGTTAATCAATAGCACCACTGTAATAACAATGAAACATCTATTCACATTGGAGTAATACAGTATATATTAATATAAGTTTGCCAAATGTACGTAGCAGGTTTTCAGTAGTTTGTCACGGCAACATACACAAAAATAACCCAAGTCGTTGTATGTACCTTGCACCCTGCTTTGCCAAGTGCCACAGCTATGGCTCTGCCAATCCCTCTAGACGCTCCAGTGACAACCGCTACCGGGGCTTCAAGCCGTGCTGCCCAGCCATCCATGGTCACGGCATCTACAGCTCTGATTCGGTCGCCTCTTCTAGTCCTTGTCCTATCTACAAAAGCTGACGTTCAGATGACAGAAGCTAGTACATGTACTGCATGCTAATAAGTCATTTTTCCTTCTGATGAAACGTCAGCTAAATTTAACTAGAGGCAGTAATGCATGCACGTACAGTCTAGGTACGATAGGTTCCGTTGGTTGCCTGATGCGGATAGGGTCGCCGTCGGCCGTCCAGAGCGCTGCGGCAGCTTGAAGCTGCTGCCATGGCGAAGCTGCGGTGGCGGAGACACACAGGAGGCGGCACTTAGGCTGGCAGCGCATGATGTTGTGGAGGCAGCCATTGCTAGCTGTTGTAGAGGGACGGACTGATGATATGTTTCTTGGCAGCCACCGCAGCTCATGGCGTCTTTAAAGTTTGAAGTCAGAGGATCGTTAGAGCGGAGGTCGGAAACGGAAAGATGGCTGGCTGCCTCGACGCGTCGCGGATTAGATGGAGGCTTGCTTTGCATGACTGCCCTAACCGTTTGTGCTGGACTTGGCAGGCTGCTACATATTCGTGGATGGAAAAGATGCATGCGTTTCAACCATTGGATGGTCTCGTCCAGTACTTCTCCATGTGTTACTCTTACCATTGGCACATATCTCATAAAAACGATGTATATTTTATTCTCAAGAAATGAAATGAGAGTTTCACTACTACATAAACTATTTTTGAGGCGACTCATAACTTTTGTAGGGGTGATTTGGCCAGCCGCCCCTACCGAATCGTCTCTACAAATTATACATTTGTAGGGGCGGTTCCTAGGCTGACCCTACAAATCGATTTGTAGGGCGGTTGGTATGTAGGGGCGGTTCAATCTAGAATCGACCCTACAGTACGTTTTTTCGCAAAAAAAATCAAATTTATAATTCAAATTCGACCAGAACACTGTTTGTTTCCGCGTATTCCATCCAGCATTCGCGTTGCCAAACGCCCCGCGACCAACGTTCCGAACCGCGTTCGCGTTGCCAAACACCCCGCGTTCCGAACCCCTTAATTCGAACTATAAGCACAATAGTATTATATAAACTACAATTATAAGTCCAATTCACAAAAATATAGACAATCCATCATTAAATATACAAATTACATACATATTGTTATCAACGTCCTAGAGCTAGCCTTTCAGTCTCACGAATATGTTGGTACTGAGGATTTCTACCTAAGTCAGACTCTCGGTCATGGTAGGCGCCTTTGATGTGTACAATCTGGTCCAATATAAAGTTGCAAAGGTCGCCGACGAGCTCTAAGAGTTGGTCATCCTTGTATGGGTCTTTTTTCATTCCTTTCTCTTCTCTTCACTACAAGAGAACAAGTTTCGGTTTAGTATTTCATACCATGTACGAAGTTTTTATACTACGGGTGAAGAGGTTCAAACTTACCCTTATCATAGAACATATATAGTATCCACAATGTACACTCCCAGGCTTTTGCTTGGGGCACTGTGTGTTTTGCATATGAAAATGTTAAGTAATGTTTTTGACAGCCATGTAACGGAGTACTGAAGAAGTAAGTTACACTTACCGCACATAGTGTTTTTATAGCCAGCTTTTCCTTCCTTACTAGATCATGCCTTCCGTGATGATTAGTGACATAGAACACTATCCGCACATAGCCACACCCGTTGCCACCTTCATCATAGTGTTCTGCCGGCCGCTGAGAAACACCAAGGTGCAACTAGTTGGTTCCCGTATACGATCGATGGGGGTTGTGGCTGCAGTGGAACCTTGGCTGCTATGAACTTTCGGAGGGCTACCAACTAATGCCGGTTCTCCCGACGACGTCACTAATATCCGTGGCTCCGTAGATAGTCATTGCTCCTCCAGCGCCTTCGCAACTAGAGCCTTCACTTGGAGCTCAAGACTAGGCTCCCGGTCTCTGCCATGCTTCTTGTACATGTGCCTGTCCTCTTCAAATCCTTACTTCCAGGTCGTCCTTTTCCCTAGCCCCCTGGTGCGGCCTGTGTGCTCCTTGTTTCCCAAGCCAAGGGTAAGCTCGTCCCTCTCTCTAGAAGGATTGAATGAGCCATTCTCCTTGTCTTCAGCATATTTCAGTATCCTTGATACTACCTCTTGGGTCTCCGGCTTATCAAACTTAAGATTACCGCCTATATCCAATTCCTTGAGCGTACCTTCAAATTTGTCACATCGATATTCTCAGCAGCTGCGGCCTCTTCGTCCATCTTCCTAAAAAAGCAGCAGCTGCTTCCCAAACATAGAGTATAGGAAAAATAGCCAAAAAACAGTTGACTGCTGCCACATGGTTGGAAGACCCCTGCAGATCAAAATCTGGTAACTTAGATGTGGCAAATAATGGATTAGAGTAAAGGAGGAGTAATAGTAGATAGAGTAATAGTAGAGGAGTAGGAATAGGTGTAGCAGCTAGGAAAGAGAGTAGAGTAGCAGCCAGCTAGGAAAGAGAGTAGAGTAGCAGCCAGCTAGTAGAAGTAGGAGTAGCAGTGAGTAGGCAAGTGAATACACATGCATGCAAACTGCTACAATGAGATGTAGTAGTAGTTCATTAGAGTAGTAGTAGTAGTTCAGTACAGTAGTTCAGTAGAGTAGTAGTAGCCAGCAGCTAGCAGTATCAACACATATGCATGCAAACTGCTACAACCAATATAGCTTAGGCAAGTGAAATCAACTAATAAATAAATAAATAAATAAAACTACTTGCAACCTAAAAAGATGACCAAAACATTATGAAATTTGTATAATGATGCATTTCAATACCAAGTAATGCAGGTCAAGAACAAAACATTATACTGAGCATATACTGAACAGAACAGAATACTGAATAGATATATTCCTGGGAACAATATCTCAATACCATAGCTTGTATATCAATGCCAGAATTCTTTCCTCTATATCCAGAAGTGTTGAGATGTCTGTTTTCTAAAATAAAAAATCAGAGATGAGAGAGAGCAGTTCCAATGCATTAACAGCAGCATTCTGTTTTCTAACAAAACAAAAAAAGATAAGAAATGAGAGAGAGAGAGAGAGAGAGAGAGAGAGAGAGAGAGACTGCTCCAATGCATTAACAACAGCATTCGGTTTAAAAAAAATGGTGTGATCATGATCGTTCAGACGATCAACTACTAGGTACCACCAGCAGAAATGAGCCAATAGCAGCAGCTAGCTCATAGTTACAAGGACACATTCAACTTTCATTGAACAACAGACATTTTAAGATAGTGGATAGCTGCAGTTTAGGTAACTAAAAATGTTGGCATGCAGCATCCCAAGCATGCACAGAAGAAATAAAAATTGATACACTTCTGCACCATTGGATCTCTATTCTTGCTGTTGGGCAGACAAAACATATCACTGGATCGAGCACTTCAACAATTGAGATTTTAGAAGATGGCACCATCTAGACATGGGAAGCCCATTAAACACTAATAACAGTAAAATAACATAGATATATGTTTCATCTACGAACAGAGATGCTTGGAGGCTGAAAGTTTCAGAATAGAGTTCATTTAATGGAGGTGAGTTGTTAGGGTCAGAGGCATTGTTTTCTTCCAATTGTCATGTGGACACAAATGTTAAACTAATCAACTCTTTGGTTTCCAAGAACCAAAAGGAGATAAATCTCAATTATCATGATTTACAAGGAACAACTGGCTTGTGCATGGCAATGTTTAGACATAGTTGAGCTAGATGGAACTGGGTTTTAGTTTTCAGACAGGAAGCGGATGTCCACTTGGCTAGCTGAGCATGGCAAGGTAACTACAGAGGTCTGCTCTGGTGGTTATCAAGGTGAAAAAAGAAGATTGAGGCCACCCATGACACCATACATTTGAAGACAGTAATGGTAGTAAAGTAACTAGTCAAAGACAATGCTGACAATACTGAACCTAGGAATTACCAAATGAACCCACATGTTGGCCCAAATACAGCTTGAATATAATAAGCCCCATATTTCATACACTGATCTATACCACATGATACCGAGTACCCCTCCGTCCCAAAAAGGATGCAACTATGGTATTTGTGACAATCAAACTAGCTTAACTTTGACCATTATAGTGAATAGTATTAACATTTATGTCTCCAACTAGGTTTAATACGAAAACATATTTCATAATTAATTTAATATTTATTTTCTATCATAAATGTTAGATTTTTATATAACTTTGGTCAACTTCAAATCGTTTCTCTCCTCGAAAAGTGAGAATTGTATCCTTTTGTGGACGGTTGGAGTACCAAAGAAGATCACCGTTAAAGTTACTACATCCTCAACCAAAGAGAGACAATGTATTTGGCTGCACTAAATACTTGAATGAGAATGGAGCCCCATCAATGTTGCCAAAACAGTGACAAGCAGTTCTTTGAAAAAAAAAATCAGTTCCTAACTAGATGTTAGTAGCAAATGTCCTTATATATTGACTAATAAACAAGTAATTTTACTGAACCCCCCACTATACTATCTCTCCAAATTTCTGAAAATAAATCAAAAGCTGAGAGCCCACTACGCCAAGCAATAAAAGCTTCAGTGGATCCTCACTCCTTTCTCAAACAAACAGCATCAAGGTAAGCATGAAGCATTAACTTTTTAAACCTCAAAAAATGCAAATAATCGAAAATATAGTTTATGCAATGTCCTGTACTAAATATGGTTTTTTATTTAAGATGTAAAAGAGAACCTTTCTCTTGCTGATGTTGCCCAAAGCACTACGAATCTAGATGCCATTACCAAATTTATTACTTCAATTGACTAAACAGCACCAGTATGCTAGAAGAACCTAGTCAGCCACTATATCTCCCCAAATTTCGAAAACTAAATACTCAAACATCAAATCAAATATTCAAAACATTCAGTAAATCGTTGCTTCATTCTCAAACATAATGTGTAGTTATCTAACTGTCTGTTCTCCTATGACTGTTATCTGAACAGCATAATGGACAGGAGAGCCATGAACCCTACTCTAGTAAAATTTGGGGAATTATTCTAGAATTCCTGCTAAGGAAACTGAAACATTTCATGAGATACTATTACCGGATAAACTTCTCCAGCAGGGACCATTTGCAAGAAACAAGCAAGCAGAGTAGAATTTAGTTTGCTGGAACGTAGTTCTTACCTCCGCCTGGGCACAGCAGGTTCCAAGTGAGGAGGTAGCGGCTGGAGCCCGTCTGCGGCAGCGGCGCCTCAGGCACGTTCACAAGCTCATGCTGGTTGGCCTCGTCATCCACCACTCTGCGCTCGGGGACGTTCACACCGAAGAGCCGGTGGTGCAGGTTGAAGTAGACCACATCTGGGTTCGCCGGGCTCACGGTTAGGGTTAGTTGTAGGCACGGA